CCCCCGGGGGGGGGGGGTGTGTGTGTGTGTGTGTGTGTGTGTGTGTGTGTGTGTGTGTGTGTGTGTGTGTGTGTGTGTGTGTGTGAACAAAGGCAAAGAAGAAGGAGCGAATATGTCGTTTTACGCACAAGTACAGGGTGTGTGTGTGTGTATATGCACCCACGCAAATGCGCAATGACATGGCGAGTGTGGTGTACCTTTGGTTCTGGGCAGTCGCGCGCAAGATGGCCGGATCCACGACAGTTGTGGCACTTGATGAACGAGCGCGCACGGGAGAAGCGATCATATGTCTTTGGGCCCTGAGATGGTGCATACAAATCATAGTGATGAGGATCAGGCAAGAAAGAACTTCATGCTCACTCACCTTTGCTTGCACTGTTCCGTCTCCCACCATCACAAGTACACACACAAGCACACGCACGCACACACACGCACACACACAAGCACGCACACGCACACGCACACGCACGCGCGCGTGCGCAGAGGTGTCGTACCGTGTCGTGGTCTGCTGCCCACAAGTCGGCGTCGTCGTCGCTGCTGGCTTCAACGTACTTGACCGTCTTTGCAGCGGCGATCACCGCTGCTGCCGTGGCTGCTGTCGGTTTCGGCGCCGATGCTGTGGCGGTGGCGGTGGTGGCGGTAGTGTTGCTCTCTGTTGTGTCCGTCTTGCTCGCGCTGTGCATTTGTCTATGGCCTGCAATGTCTTCCTCTTCTTCATCATCGTCATCGATGACAACAACAACAGAGTCGTCACCGCTGCTGCTGCTGCTGCTACTGCTACTGTCACTACTACTACTGCTACTGCTGCTACTGCTGCTTCCACTGCTTCCACTGCTGCTGTTCGAGTCTTCAACCACCTGCACGCTCTCCACACTAGAGACGGTTGCATTGAGTACAAAGTTGTCCACGCTGCTGTTCAGCTTGCTCGCTTCAGCTGCTGCATCCGCACCGCCTGCACCGCGCTTGCGGCGACGGCGGCGGGCCTGGCGCGCGCGGCTGGAGTCGTCTGTGTTTCCGCCATCGTCGTCGGTGCTGTATGCTTCGACAAAGAGCGGCTCCTTCGGGAGCTGTCTCTGGCGAAAGGCAGACGCGCGGCCGGGCTCGTCGTCCACGGAAGTGTTGAGCGCTGCAGGTGACTGGACATGTGCCGTGCTACCGTTCTCCTGTGCGGCGTACTCCGATGGCGTGGCAGGATGCTTTTCTTCTGTTGTGGGCCCTTGTGCTCCGGGCGTCCTGTGCCACATCACACAATGCACAGCAAGACACACATACAGAGACAGAGGCAAACAGAGAGAGAAGGAGCAATGCGATGATGAGCTGCCATGCATGCATGGCACGTGCCATACATGAACGAAACCAATGGAAGCGGCCTTGAGTAGAGAGCGCGCGACATGCATGTCATGCTACTGACGCTGCGGGGACGGCATTGGAGATGCTGGAGTAGTGGAGGGCGCGATATGCTGCGAACTCGGCCTCCGAATCCGCGTCAGAGTCCGATCCCCGACTGCCAACAACGAGCACAACGGCGTGACGGTGAACGATGAACGTGCAGACAGCAGCACACAAGCAAAGACGTATGCAGCGAGGCATGCAGCAAAGCATGCAGCGAGGTAGGCGACGAGGCATGCAGCGAGGTAGGCGACGAGGCAGCCAGGCAGCGAGGCAAGAAAGCCACATGTATCGTGCACATGCCCGCGCACACACTCACTCTGATCCAGAGTCCCACGCTGACATCGTGTGCGGTTGCTGTTGTGTGTGGAGAAAAAACACACGTGCAAAAAGAGTTTGTGTGTGTGTGTGTGTGTGTGTGTGTGTGTGTGTGTGTGTGTGTGTGTGTGTGTGTGTGTGTGTTGCTTGCTCCTTCCTCTCCCTTCCCCGCCTCCTCCTTCTCCTTGCTCCTCCTTCTCCTTCTTTCACAGCTTGGTTTGTTTTGCTCAACAATACATACATATGTACAGCAGACTGGCGCGAATCACATCAACAGCATCAAGCGTAAACGGCCACGCTGACAGGGAACAATTGTAACGGCAGTGGAGATGGCGTAGCCGGCAACCAATGACCAAGCACAACAAGCACAAGAGGAGCAGCGGAGAGCCTACAAACGAGAGCATGGGCAAAGCCGTGCACAGGATCGAACAACCAACAGAACCAACAATGCATGATGTGATGATCGAGCTCGTGGCACGGATGGCAGAGAGACGCTATCCGCACCCCTGTGTGCGACTCAACAAGGGGTAGTGGCGGCTCGTGGATGGAACCATTGCTATCACACACACGCACACACACACACACACACATGCACGCACACGCACACGCACGCACACGCACGCACACACAACACATACAAACACATACACATACGCACACATACATACACCACACACGCACACACACACACACACACACATACACATGCACATACATACACATACACACACACACACATCAGGCGGTGGAGTCCACAGCACGCGGCTGCAGCAGTCGCATGCGCCGGTGGCTCTCGAGCAGATCGGCTTCCAGCGACCGCAGTGACTCCGCACGCACGCAATCGCCAATGTCCTGACACGTTGCTTGCTGTAGCGCCTGCTGAATGACAGCCGGGTGGAACCACACGCGTCGACACCGCCTGCACGTGCCGCCACCACTGGGACTGCTGCCAGTACTGCCAGTGACGCTGACGCGGGCACGGCCGCAGTGGCGACACTGCCCCTGGCCTCCCTGCTGCTGCCTTGTTTGCTGTTGCTGCTGTTGTTCTTGTTGTTGTTGCAACGCCTTTGCGTCGACACAGTCCGCGGACGAGCGTGCACAGCGCAAGCGGCGCCGGCGGAACGACGCAGACAGCGGGCGCGCCAGCGTGATGGATGGCGACGAGGCACAGCTGCTCCCACAGCTGCCGCTGGTGGCGATGGTGCTTCTGTGCAAAGCCGTCATGGCCGCACTCTCGGCATCGCAGGTCGCATCACTGTTCACAACATCATCTGCATCATCGCCTTCAGCGTCGCCAAACACATCGACGCCATCAACACAGGGTGAACTGCCATCCGCATCAGCGCCAAACACGTCTTCGTCCTCATCATCACCGTCATTTGCAATGTCTTCATCATCGCCACAGCCACCATCACCACCAAAAACCTCATCATCATCCTCCTCTAGCGCAGCAGCGTTGTGGACGCTGTCATCTTCACCACCAAACGGATCATCAGCATCACCATCAACGTCATAGCCATCGACATCAGCGCTCTTCCTGCCAAACACATCGTCACCTTTCTCCTCCTCCACCTCCTCCTCCTCCAATTTCTCGTCCCCCTGTTCCTTCATGTCGGCTTGGCTGGAGTTGTAATTTGTGCTGTCTGCTTGCCGGGCTGGCGTGCCAGCCGCATCCACGCCTTCGTCCATGACAGGCGCGGGCTGCTCTGCCCTGCGGTGTGTGTTTGGTTGGGCCGAGGTGCAGCCATATGGCATGGTGGTGATGGTGGTGATTCCCGGCCGCACACGTGCGATGGCGTGGGGTGTGCCATCGGGCAGCATGCACCCCTGGTACACGGCCATCATGCCTTGGTGCTTTGCAGCAGAGGATGTGGCCCGCGCGCGCTGCCGGCGACTTGCGCTCGAAGGCCGGCTCCCGTGGTTGCTGTGGTTGCTCTCGCTGCTGTTGTTCTTCCTGCTGTCGCTGTTGCTGTAGCTGTTGCTAGAATTGTGGTGGATGGTGTTAGTGTGGTGGCTGTTGCTGTGGCTGGTGGTGCTACTGTTGTCGTTGTCGCCGTTGGGTGTGATGGTGCTGCCGCTGCCACCGGCTTGCTCCAGCTGTGCGCCCTTGTCAGCACAGTCGCCGAAACGGCTGTTGCTGTCGTCGTTGCTGTTCGTGCTGCTGCTACTGCCACCGTTCAAGCAGATGAACCTGTTCTTCTCCGTGTTGATGACGGCCTGCATGTCCATGCTGTTGAGGCGGATAAAGTCCCACAGCGGCTGCTTGCCACTCGTAAACCCGGCCTCCACCGCCTGCGCCACGGCCTCTGCCTGGATGCGGTTCAGCTCGTATCTGCTCCAGAACAACGACGGGCTCGACGAGCAACCAGCGTTCGGCCCTCGGCCAGAAATGTGGCGCGCCCACTCACTCGTGCACTCTTCTTCTTTCTCATCATCATTCATCTCCCCTTGCTTCTGTTCCCCCTGCTTCGAGCTGCTAGTGTCCATGCACTGGTCCATGTCAGACTCGCGGTCCTCTCCCTCTGTCATTGTGTCCGTCTCTGCCTCGGCGTCGGTGCAGGCATCTGTCTTCCGCGCCGGGCCGCTGGCGTCACCCTGCGCCCCCTCCTGCGGTGGTGCTGGCGGTGGCACTGACGTGGTGGCATCAGCGGTCGCTGTTGCGTCGCGCCGGAGCGGCGGTGGGAGAGGGGATGATGCCGGTGGCCGATGCAGGTGGCGGCTCCGGTGGTGGTGATGACGGTGGCGGTGGTGGCGGCGGCGGGTGTGCGGATGGCACGCGGGCGTCGCTGCGTCGGCTCCTGTGGACGGGTTAGCCATGGCAGTGGTGGTGGTGGTGGTGGTGGTGGTGAACTTTGTGGTTGAAGGGTCGGTGGCGTCAGCGGGTGTTGTGGTGCCGGCCGTGTCCATGTCGCTGTTGCACAAAATGGCCTCGTCGCTGTTGCTGTGGGAAAGGGCAAGCCGTCCCGCTGGCTGCGCGAGAGCTGCGCCGGGTGCAGGCGAGCTTGAAGGACAACAGCTTGCCTTGGATGCACTTGATTGCTGGCATGGCGGCTGGTGTTGTGGGTTGTGGTCGTCGGAAACTGGGGTGCGTGGCTGCGGTGTTGCGGTGGCGCTTGGGTTTAAGGGCCGAGGGTGCGTCCCAATTTCCCCGTTTGGCAAAGGCGTGCCTGATGCAGCCATGGTGTGTGCCGAAGCCCGTATTGGCGCTGATGTTGTGGTAATGGCGCCGATTTGCGCGGCAGCCTCCATGCTGTCTCGATCACCGGTGCCTCCTGCTGACTTGAAGGACTTGGCTGGCGCTTGCGGCGGTGGTGCGGCGGTGGAAAATGACACAGGCGCGGGCCGTGCTGCTGTTGCTTCCTTTGTGGACATGGGCGAAGGTATGGAGCACTCGCCTTCCTGAGCCCTGCACGAAACAGTTGCGTCCGTTGTGGTACCAAGCAGGGGAAGGTGCGTGCGCGAGCAAGAGCACAAGTGGACGGCAAGCAAATTAAGAGCGAGGGAGACAGGAGAGGTGGTTGAGGAGGTCGGCGGTGATCATCACAGACACGTGGTGCACGTGAGAGGAGGGCAAGAGGGGGTGAATGCGTGGTTGTGTTGTGGCAGATGTGACACATGTGATCGGGATCACACACGGTGTAGAGAAGGGTGGGGGAGAGGGAAAAGGGGGGGGGGGAGGAGTGGAGGGTGTGTGTGTGTGTCGGGAGCAATCATGACGAGTGGTGTGTGACATGCGCTCGTGTGATGACGTCAATCCAATTGTGGTTGAGACGAAGAAGCGCAATGAAGCAAGCGAAAGAGGAGGGAAGGGAAGGGAAGCAAGGCGAGGAACGGGAAAGGAGCAGGGAAGGGAAGGCAGATGAGCAAAGAAGGTAGGGGAAAAGAAGGGAGGAAAGGGAAGGGGAGGGGAGTGAAGGGAAGGGAAGGGAGGAAAGCAAGGGAGGAGGGTTGCAGGGAACGCGACCAAGCCACATGTGGGAAAGAGCCCCCACCAATCATTGTCGAGCGGAAGCCGCAGCGGTGATCACCGCAGGTTGGTACAAGAGGGGTGCAGGCACACAGCCAGACAAAGTGTGGACCACTTACGTAGCGATGCGGCGTTTGATTTGTGCTGCCAGGCGAAGGACGCTCATGGCGAGGCTATGGTGTCGTAGTAGCTGTTGTTGTTGTTGTTGTGGGGCGGTGAAGGATGGACACCGGGGGCGCCACAGTCTACCAAGTGACCTACAGCTTTCCTAACAAGTAGCTCTTGTTAGTAGAGCACATGAAATGTGGGATGCGTGTGTATCTGGGTCTGCGGGGCCCGAGTGCTGATGGTGATTGGTTGACGAGTTGGTTGGGCAGATGGGTGTGTGCCTGCCTGCCTGCCTGCCTGCCTGCCTGCGGTGAAATCCGATACGTGTCGCGTTGATGGTGCAAGGATGGGTGGTCGTAGATGACCGGCTGTAGATGAGAAGCAATCCAGAAGAAATGGTCGCCAAGAAGGCGAAGACGGCGTGCGCCCTTCCCGGGGTTCCTTGATAGCGTCTCGTGTCTGGCAGGCTGGATGAAAGTGTGGATGTGGATGTGTCTGGCACCGTGCTGCTGGCCCGATTATCACAAAGCGGCCAGCACAACCACACTACCCGTGGAAAGAGGCCTTGCCTGGCCGGGAGGACATCACATCACATCACAGCAGCAGTGCGTGATCAACCAACCAATCAATCAACCAACGAAGGCGCATGAGCAACAGTTTCAAACATGCAAGTTGGAAGGCAGCAGCGTTTCCATTCATCAATGCACAAAGCAGCAACCATTGCATTGTTGTGGCGTGTCGTTTGATCATGGCGGGGTCGTGGTGATTGCATACGTGTGTGTGTGTGTGTGTGTGTGTGTGCGTACGTGTGTGTGCGTACGTGTGTGTGCGTGTGTATGTGAGGGAGAGAAGGAGAAGAGAAGGGGTAGAGAAGGAGACACAGAGACACACACACACACACACACACACACACACACACACACACACATACGCCAACAAGCAAACAGCACGCAAGCATGTGATTGCCACTCAGAATGGTGATGACATTAAGGTCATGTCGGCCAGAGTTTAGGACGCACGCACGCAACCCCCCCCCCCTCGGAAACAAACAAACACACACACACACACACCAAACACGGACACACATTGCCTCACCCTGGCGTCGTACGATGTGGCGGAGTGCGCACTGTGCCTATCTTGCTTGCTTGAGTTGTTGTTGTTGTTGTTGTTGTTGTTGTTGACTTGCTTGCTTTCTGCTCTGCAAGCAAAGCGACCTTGTACTCTGTGCGTACTGTTTGGTGCTGTTGCCAAAAAGAGAGGAAATACACATACAACACATACAAAGCACACAACGCACACAACGCACAGCACCCAAAAGCATGCAAACCGTCGTCCTCCTCCTCCTCCTCCTTCCTCGTGCTTGCTTGCTGCTAGGTTCAGACACCACCACCATCAACGATAGCTGTTGTGTGATGGTGTTGATTTGATGAGAACGCAACCATTCGCTTGCCGTCTTGCTGTTGGGCGCATGGTCTGCCCTGAAAAGGCTTCGTCCGGTTTTTTGTTTTCGGCGCCCCGAAAACGGATCGTTGGAGGACGAAGCGAACGAAGCGAGCGAGATACGCCAGTTCGATGACGTGGGGTGTGTGTTGGTTGGGCACGTTTTGCTCCTCTGCTTGCGCTGCTTGCGTCGCACATGCCGCACTTCCTCCCTCTTCGTGCTTTCGGCTGGCTGCTGTCGTCATGGTGCGATGCAAAAGCAGGGCGTGTGCCACTGGTACCCAACCGTCCTCCTCAGGCACACACCCCTCCCCCATCCACAGGCAGACAGCCTCACGCGGAGGGCTTCACATGCAGTGTCACCCAACCATCAATACACGTTGTCGCGCAACACATCGCCAACTTCCACACGCTGCTGCGCGCGCAGAGGCGGGCAACGCAACACGCGGCAACACGCGGCAACAAACACCTGCGCGTGGTTGTGGTGGTGGTTGGCTTGCTTGCCAAAACCTTTGGAATTCCTTCTGGAAACGCAAGTGCTTGTTCCCCAAAACGAGGCAACAGGCCACGGTGTTGCGTGCACTATGTTGGGGGACCCACAAAAGCAAGCACACACAAGCACACCCAAAGCAAGCACATAAGCAAGCACTGCCATAGCAAGTGAGGCAACCCCCCCCCCCCGCCGGCTTTCCTTTCTTCCCATGTTGCCTCGCCGTCGTCATCCTTCATTTCCGGCCGTCAGTCAGCATCCACATACGCACATTCGCGACACATGCACACGTGACCCAAACGCAAAACTTGCGTTGGGGTTGCGAGTTTCCAGGAACGTTGCTGTCATCAGTGTCAGAAGAGTGCAGGCTTGCTTCAACATCCGCATGCAGAAGGCCACTTCGCTGTGGCTTTCCTCGTTTGCTTGCTGCCTTGCTTGCCGCCCCAAGCATCACCACCTCCACCAACCAATAGTTTCAGCGTGGCCTTGGTTGTTGGGTGGTGGTTGGTAAACGTGGTCTCCCAGTCAGCCATCGCTGGTTGTGTGTTGGAATCGTGCTTGCCATCCATTCAGCGCGCCAACACCACCACCACCTGGCTTGCACAAACGGAGAGATAGACAACCTACCGCACGGCATCGGCATTTTCTCCCGATCGACAACACGACCCGCGCTCCCTCGTTTCCCCCTCCCCCCTGTCTCCACTCATTTTCTTGTCGCAGCTGCCCTCTACCTCCAGACGACGCACCCACACCAATACGACGACAATACGACGCAACCCCTTTCCCATACCCTCCTCCTCGTCACTCGTTGACCGAGACAGCAGCAGCAGCAGAAGGAAACCTCATCGCTTCTAGCAACAAACTACAAACAAACAAACAACCTCAACACACCCAGCACACCTGTCTGGCTTGTGTTGTCGCTGGTGCTCCTCCTCCCTCCACACCCCCCCCCCGCCCTATCATTCATCCTCTTCATCGCCGGCTTGCACCCACAAGAACCAACATTGGTCTCTTGGCGTTTACCACACGCCGCACACGCCACCATGATGAACACCAAGTGCGCTGTCGCCAACCCTTCCACAGCCACAGCAACACCAGCCTCGTCGCCTCGGTACGTCTCCACCCAAGGCACATACTCCACAGCCATGGCAGCTCAGCACGGCCACAACACCCACGCTGAGGCCAACCGCCCGACGACACAGACCCGCCCCAAAACCGCGCCCGGCCGCGACAGTAAATCTGCTTCCGCGCACCTCGCGTCCACGACCTCTGCGACCTCGTCATCCTCTTCTTCGTCCACACGTGCCCAAGCGCAGACCCCAGAGCCGCAGCAGTACCACCACCACGAGCGCCGCCGCCCAACGTCACCCATTCCTCGACGCACCATCAAGATCAGCTCAGACTACCGCGAGGCTGTCAACGCTGTCGGCGTCGTCGCGCTCGCCAAACACATCAAGCAGCAGATTGTCGAGTGAGTTTGTTTGTTCCCTTCCTTGCACACATGCATGCATGCAGGAACCAACCCATCCACAGTGCACCTCTCTGTGTGCGTGCGTGTGTGTGTGTGTGTGTGTGTGTGTGTGTGTGTGTGTGTGTGTGTGTGTGTGTGTGTGTGCGTGTGTGCGTGTGTGTGTGTGTGTGTGTGTGCGTGTGTGTGTGTGTGTGTGTGTGTGTGTGTGTGTGTGTGTGTGTGTGCGTCTGTGTGTGTGTGTGTGTGCGTCTGTGTGCGTCTGTGTGCGTGTGTTATCTGTGCGTTATCTGTATGTGACGTCACCATACCATCACACACAGCCTCCAGCTCCATTTCCCCCCCCCCAAGGTCCATTGCTTCCGCATGTTCTCGATGATTGCGCTGACACTGACATCCACCTCCGTCCCCCTCGTTCTGCATGTTATTATTAGGTCCTGGGTGGACTTGAATGTGTCGAGCCCAGGCGCGCCCGTCGACTTTGTGGCAAAGCACTCGCTGTCCAACGAAGAGTGCGAGCACCTCAGGCGCTCCTCCTCACCTGGGAAGCGCACGCCATCTCCACCAACACCGTCTGCCCACGCCAGGTCCTCGTCCCCGTCTCTCTCGTCACCGGCACCCCAGGGCCCACCAACGTGGCTGTACCAGGCGGCACGCTCGTGCGTTGGCCAGCAAGCTGCTGCTGCTGCTGACAAGACGACTGCCAGATCAACCGCAACCGCCACAGCTGCCGACACCGAGAAGCAAGCGGCCGGCGCAAACGATACGGACAAGCAGCAGAAAGCGGGCAAAGAGGACAAGCAGAGCACTCGCTCCAAACCGACGAACCCCCGCCGTCCGCGCGCATTCACATCCACGTACGAGAAGCAGACTTCGAGAACGACAAAGGCCACGCCAACGCCGGCAACAACAACAGCCACCGCGCCGTCCCCATATCTGGACGATCGCGCCACCACAAAGCGGGCTCGCCAGCGCCAGCGCAGCAACACGGGTGCCGCGCCAGCGGCACAGCCCAACCCGCCCGTGCGCAAGAGCAGCTTCCTGCAGCGCAGCGCCTTCCACGGCCGCACAAGCCCCGCCGTCAGGTCGGCCCACCCGACACAGCATCTCCTCAACAACAAGGTGCACGCGCAACAGGCGCCGCACGCCCGCATCAAGGCCGCCTTCAAGACAGACGCATCGCGTCCAGGCACGGCGGGGTCGAGTAAGACGTCTGCCTCAGCCAACACGACAATGACAACCGACAGCGGCGCCACCACAATGTCGTCCCCTCTGCCTGCACCCAGGTCGCCGTCGCCTAAGCCCTCGCCACTCACCATCACAACCTCACCCGCCGCACCCAAGGGCACAGTGCCTTCTCCGCAGCCACACCGCACCGCCACTAGCCCAACCAGCCCGACCACGACCATCGCTGTCACAGACGCCGACACAACCATCACATCCGCCGCCACCATGATGGACACGACCAACCCTGGCGAGGCCCTGGCCCTTGAGGAGGCTGTCGACACCATTGTGGACACGTTTCGCGATCGCCTGCTGGAGCGCATCAATGGCGACCCCGCCTTTCGCGCGCACATGCTCGCCGTCATCGGCTATGGTGGCGCTGCGGAGGATGCACGCCAGACACCGTGCAGCAGACCGTCGTCACCGCTGCCGTCGCTGTCGCGGCCCACGACGCCAGACACGGTCCGCTTCCCAAAGCTGCGAGGGGCCACCCAACAACAACAACAACAGCAGCAGCAGCAGCAGCAGCAGCAGCAGCAGACATGCCATGTTGCAGGAGGCATGGGGAGCGGCACCACCGCCACGACACTGGACGTCTGCGTGGCCGAGATGAACATGAGTGTGCGGGCCACGCTCTCCGCGCTTGTTCCCCCTGCTTCTCCGCCTTTGCAAGGTTCTGTGCTTTCCCCGACAAGCACAGCGTATTCGCGCCGCGAGCGCCCGTCCACTGCGGGCACAACGACTTCCACCCCTTCCTCGTCACGCTCCATCACGCCCCTGCTTGATCGTGAGGATCGCGGCGTGTCTGATGACGACCGCCTGTACATGGCCACCGCCCTCCAGTACTGATCCAATGCGTGATGGCTTCTTCATGTGTGTGTGTGTTTGTGTTTGTGTGTTTATTTGTGTGGTTCTGATTGACTGTGCTATTTGAATGCGCTGGCCGCACCTACATATCCTGTGTTACTCCTTACATGTTTTGACCTGAGTGAGCACTTGTTGTTAGTTACGCTTGTGAGTGAGTGAGTGTGTGTGTGTTCGCCACGTGTGCGCGCAGTGTTCACTCTCTTCTTAGCTGTGCCCGTTGACATTTCGGTCTTGTTGTGATATGTGGTGGCAGACACACGCACCGCTTCGCATTGTTTGTTGCGTCCATTGTATGTGACCTTGTGTTCTTTGAAGAGGACGACGATGAGTGAGTCAGTTCGATGACATGACATTACAACAGTCTTTAGCTGCATGAGGCACAGAAACGAACCAAAGCAAACACCCAGACACAGGGAGTGCGAGGGGTTGTGAGTGAAGGAGCGAGTAAGTGAGTGCGTGAGTGAGTGAGTGAGTGTGAGTGAGTGTGAGTGAGTGAGTGAGTGAAGGAGCGAGTAAGTGAGTGAGTGAGTGAGTGAGTGAGTGAGTGAGTGAGTGAGTGAGTGAGTGAAGATGCACACACACACACACACACAGAAGATGCACACACACACACACACACACACACACACACACACACACACACACACACACACACACACACACACACACACACACGACATCGCGCAAGGAAGGACCGCCCGTACGATAAGTTGTGTAAGTTATTTGCCAATTTTCGGCAATCCACGTGCACCGCAGCGACAACAACCAACAACAGCGACAACAGCGGCACGCGGTCACACCTGCCCCACCACCAGCTCCACCGGCCCATCGCCGCGCTTCCCCCCAGCCATGTCGCATCGCCATGAGGCTGGTCCGCTGAAGCAGCAGAACAAGTCGCACAAGACAAGGTTCCGAACAAAAGGCCAACGATTGGACCGCCTGGCCGGGCGAACAATTGCCACGGCAGCTTCGCGCAAGAAGAAGGCCGCAGATTCAAAGGCCGCACGCAAGCTCAAGCAGACGCAGGCCCGTGCTGCGAAGCGCGACGCCGCCATGCAGGCCAAGCGCCGCATCGGCACCACAAACGCCCCGCCATACTTTGTCCTGCTTGTGCACCTGCAAGAGGACACCCAGGCCGCCATCAACCTGCGTGACCAGCTTGTGCAGGCCTCCGTGCCAAAGGGCGTGCACAACGGCGGCGGTGGCGCCAACGCAGACGGCACGTGGGTGCCGGATGCGCTGGACGTGTCCTTCTTCTCCACACGCCTGAAGAAGAAGATGAGCATCGCCGTTGCCTCAGCCAACGTCCTGGCGACGCTGGAGCTGACCAAGGTCGCCGACACCGTCGTGTTTGTGGGCAAGGCATACGAGGAGGTGGCCGAGGACCGGCAGCTCCTGATCAACTGCCTCTGTGCACAGGGCGTCCCCACCACCGTGCACGTGCTCACGGATCTGGAAGAGCTGCCTCAGAAGAAACGCTCCGACGTCAAGCGCACGTTTGCCAAGGAGGCCACAGACCTGTTGCCGGACACCACCGTGCAGTTTATCGAGAAGCCATCAGACTACCAGACCTGCCTCTGGGGCATCGCCAACAAGAAGCGCAGGACGGTGCACTGGCGCGAGGCGCGCACCCACGTCATGGCCGAGCGAGTCAGCTACGATGCGGCAAACCGGGAGTTGCGTGTCACAGGCTACGTGCGCGGGCCGTCCCTCAACGTCAACGCGCTTGTCTACCTTCCTGGCCTGGGCGCACGCCAGATGTCGCGTGTGCTGCAGGCAACAGAGCCCATCCCGTCGTCCCACAAGAGCAAGAAGTCGAACCAGGCGTCCATGGATGCGACCGCAGAGGCCGGCAGTGACGATGCCACCGTGCTTGCCGCGCCAACCCCTGAATTCCAGCACACGCTCCAATCGGAGGTGGAGGTTGATCCCCTCGATGCCGAACAGACCTTCCCCACCGAGGAAGAGCTCGCACAAGCAGACAGCGTCCAACACCGCGCCATGGTACGGGCGTTTGTATGTCTGTGTGTCTGTATGTCTGTGTGTCTGTGTGTCTGTGTGTCTGTGTGTGTCTGTGTGGGGGTGGGGGTGGGTGTGTGGGTGGGCGTGTGGGTGGGTGTCTGTGTGTGTCTGTGTGTCTGTGTCTGTGTGTGTGTCTGTCTGTGTGCACAGTTCAAGTGCCACACTCGCCTTGCATGTGGTGACCTCGAATCACTGCCGTGAGCTTACTCGCTTATTCCCACGGTCTGCTCTCCTGTGATGGTTGTGGTGTGTAGACTGTACAGACGCGTAAGGTGCGCGTGCCAAAGGGGTTTTCAGACTATCAGGCATCTTGGCTCATTGGCGACGACGATGACGAGGACGACGATGCCGGCGACAACGACACGTCCATGGTGGGTGTCGGCATGTGATGCTGCGAATGCTCACGCCCTTCGGCGAGTGGTTGTTGTTGCTCGTGTGTCAGAATGAACTTCTGCGTGTATGCTGTCAACTGTATTTTGTGTGATGTTAGCTGATATGATCTTTTTGACCCCCCCCCCCACACTCACACGCACACACACACACTCATACACTGTCTCTCCTCTCTCCTTACACGTGTGGCCCGTGTGTGCGTGCTCTCCTCCTAGGCCATGGATGACGAGGACGAAGACGAGATGAACGCGGTGCATAAGGACATCTGGGAGGCGGTGAAGGGCGCAAAGTACGTCGGTGGCGCCGATGGCAGTGACGCAGACTCTGTAAACATGGAGGTGAGCCCTGCACACGACGCGCGCGACGTTCCGTGTCCTTCGCAATTCTTATTGTTTGTTTCGTGTCTCGTCGTTCCTCTTGTGCTCCATGGGGAAGCAAATACACCCTGGCAGCGCGCACACTCACGCATACACATCTGCATGCATGTTCACTCACCCACACCCACACACACACTCAATCACCCACACACACTCACTCGCTCACACACACACACACACACACTCACTCACTCACTCACTCGCTCACACACACACACACACTCACGCTCTCACTCACTATCTCACTCACTATCTCACTCACTATCTTACCCACCCGATCCTGTGGCTGTTCCCCGCACCAGCGCGGACCGATTGCCGATGAGGACGACGATGATGACGATCTGGAGGAGCGGGAGTACATTGTTGACCCGCAGGAGCGAGCAAAGGCATACGACGCAACCATGGATATGACCGAAGAAGAGAAGGAGCTCAAGGTCCGTTGTGGGTGTCTACGTTTTGCTGGCTGTGGTTTGAAAGAACGAGAGGAAGGGTGCGTTTTGGACCACAGCGTCATGGGTGACGTGCCCCCTTCCCTGCCTCACAGGCACACACACACACACACACACACACACACACACACACACACACACACACACACACACACACACACACACACACACACACACCACACCGTGCTTGGTTTCTGTTGTGGCAGAAATTGCGCGCGGCGACAGAGGACTTTGAGTTTCCAGACGAGATTGACACGCCTGCGGACCAGCCCGCGCGCGTGCGCTTTGCCAAGTACCGTGGCCTGCAGAGTTTCCGCCACACCCCCTGGGACCCTCGTGAGGACCTTCCGCCCCAATACGCGCGCATCTTCAAGTTTAAGAACTTTGATCACACTCGCCGACGCGCCATCAAGGACCTGGCAACGCAGGACAGCGACGAGGAGGTGTGTGTGTGTGCATGTGTGTGTGTGTGTGTGTGTGTGTGTGTGTGTGTGTGTGTGTGTGTGTGCGTGGTCCTGCGCTTTGGTTGCTCTGTCTGCCCGCGGCTTCTCTCTGTTTTCGTTGCTGGGTGTGACTTGAGCGCTGGTTTCAGCACGCCTCCTTCATTTTCTTATGGCTCAACCTTGTGCACCGCCACCCACCCGCTGTAGCTGCAACCGTTTCTTGTGGGCGAGGGCACGTACGTAACCGTGTGCATTGCGGATGTGCCTGAGGATTACCCGCAGTCCGTGGACATCAACATGCCGCTTGTGCTGTGGGTGCTCATGGAGCACGAGAACAAGATGTCTGTCGTCCATTTCCTCATCAAGATGCACCCCACATACAACGAACCCATCAAGTGAGCCGCGCCTACTGCACTTGTTTGTTGCTCCTGTGTACGTGCACTTGGCCATTTGCCGTTTTGCCTTCGTTTGCCTTTGTTTGTCATTGCTTGCCTTTGCTTGCATTGTTCTGCTCACGAGAAACCATATCTCCTCACGTCCGCCCCGACCACGTTCTCCTGCCCCATCCAATCACCCTGGACGCGTTTTTCCTCACCCTTGTACGTGTCTTCCCCTCTCTCCACCCAACAAACACCACCCATTCCCAGGTCGAAGGAGCGGCTTGTGTTCCAGACGGGCACGCGCCGGTTCTATGCAGAGCCAATCTTCTCCTCCAACTCCAACGGAAACAAGCACAAGTTTGAGCGCTTCCTGCAGCCTGGCGCGTCTGCTGTCGCCACAGTTATTGCCCCCGTCGTCTATCCACCCATGCCCGTCCTCTGCTTCAAGTCAGTTCCCAACCACGCGAGGAGTGCGGCACACACGCACTCTTGCACGAAGCTGGCGCGTGATGCGTGCTTGGGATTGGATTTGAAGGGAAGAGTTCATGGTGTGTTGTGGCCTGTGGCCTGTGCGGGCTGTGGTTGCCCAAGACAAAGCTGCTGTGCAGCACACGCTTGTGCGTTTGCCATTGCTGTGTGGCTGCCGGTGTAACGTGTGACTGATAGCTCATGGTGCTTGTTTTTTGTTTTTGTCTTTGATGCGCACGGTTTTGCAGGGAAATGGAGGATGGCAGCCAGCTGCTGGTCGCGAGCGGCGCTGTTGTGAACGTGAACCCGGACCGCATTGTTGTCAAGCGCATTCGCCTGTCCGGATATCCGTTTAAGATCAACAAGCGCTCTGCCGTGATTCGGCACATGTTCTTCAACTGCGATGACATCCACTGGTTCAGGCCCGTCGAGCTCACCACCAAGCTTGGCCGTCGCGGTCACATCAAGGTGTGCACATCGTCTGTGTATCGTGTCTGTGTATGGGGGGGTCTGTGTGTATCGTGTGTGTGTGTGTGTGTGTGTATCTGTGTGCATGTAATATCTATCCTTCTGTCCATCATCGACCCATCCTTCCGCCTGTCCATCTTGTTTGTCCGTCTGTCCGTTCATCGACGCGTGCGTTGCTCCAAATCACCGCCTCTCCTTCCTCACCGTCTCCCGTCCCTGGCTTCTCCCCGCACTCTGCGTGTTTCATGTAGGAGAGCTTGGGTACGCATGGGCACATGAAGTGCGTGTTTGACCAGCAGCTCAAGGCGCACGACACAGTGTTGTTGAACCTGTACAAGCGTGTGTATCCAAAGTGGAAGTACGAGGAAGCAAAGGCGCAGGCCACAGACGTGCTCACGCTTGCGCCGCTCGCTGGCGGCGAGGAAGAGGGAGAACCAGAGGAGCAGGAGCAAGAAGACAACGATGACATGATGGAGTGATGATCCGTGCCATCCCACACGACCAGCCAGACGACTATATTGCCAAGCAAGAGCACCTTGTACACTTGTGAACCGCCACCATCACCACCACCAGCAGCAGCAGCACCACTACCAGCAGCAGTAGCAGCGGCAGCATGTCACATCAATCACATTTGTCACAACTCAAACAACCACCACAAACACACGATCGCGCACCACAATAAAACAGTGCGACCTGATTGGCCAATTTGAATAATTTTTGTGTTGTGCCGGTTTTCCATTGTTGTTTTGGGCGGGTGGGTCGAATACAGACGGAGACACTTGTGTTGTTGCGCTGCTTGCTGGTTGGCTGGGAAGCAAATACATAAGGCAAACGTGTGTGTGTTGTGAGTGTATCGCTCAGCCCTGACTTTACTCTCAACACACACGCACGCACAGCTTCTCTCTTTGTCTGAGTCTCACTTCTCGTCCTTCCAATCCCTTCATTCCAGGCACTCGAGAGCCAACCCACAAAGGAAATAGCTGGAAACGTGGTGAGACGTGAGAGACGTGAAACTCCTCAACCCCGCAGCTCAGCAATGGCGGCAGTGACGCGCATGGCGTGTGCAGCCACGCTGGCTGTGCTGCTTGCAGCCATTGCCTCCTCGCTTCATGTTCATGCACAAGGTGGGCAATCAATCAAGCTGGTCGCTGTGGCGCTTGCACTGTTAAGACTGTTTGCTTGAAGTTTGTTTGTTGCGGCCATGACGCGGCCAACTCACATCGTAGCAGCCAATACTCACATCGCACCGACCACAACGACAACCATTGTCATCATTGCACAACGACAGAGGCGTGCATGCAGTCGCAGCCAGACGCATGCCCGTTTGGCCAGGCGTGCTTTCCAATCAAAGAAGTGTGCACGGTCGAGGTGGATGGCACGACCGACTGCCCCGGCGTGTGCGACGAACCGCTCCAATTTCAGGTGGAAGACGTGCCTGCAGGCACGGATACCGGCGACGCATGCAGGGAGCCTTGCTCCCAGCTGGCTGAGCGAGACAACATCCCTGGGCGGCAGGACGACTGCGAGGCTGGCTGCACTCTCGGGGCGCAAGCAGCGTCTCGGGGCGAGTGCGCATCCCTGTGCGAGCTGACAGAGGACCTTGTCTGGGTGGCGGACTGCGAGGCCGCCTGCCAACGCTTCTTCGACATCAGCGCCACCACGGACCAGGCAGCGACCTGCGCCAGCGCCCGCTCAAACTGCACGGCCTGCGCTGCCATGTCTTGCTCTTACTGTCAGATTACTCAGTCTGGCGTGGTCTTGTACACGGACTGCCTTGATCCGGATGACGAAGCCTCGAGCGCAGACTGCACAGAGCTCGGCGGCGCACTCATTAGCAGCGCGTCCTCTTGCCCCGTGGCCACAGATCCGTGCGCCTCCGAGCGCCCGTGTGAACAGCTGCAGTGTGACGAAGGAGAGCAGCTCATGACGCTGCCGCTGCAGGACGGAGAGTGCTGTCCCCAAATGCTCTGCGTCACACAAGGTCTGCCCGCGTTTCTTTGTAGTATGTAGGTGTGTATGTCTGTGTGTGTATGTCTGTGTGTGTCTGTGTCTGTGTCTGTGCCTGTGGCTGTGTCTGTGTTTCTGCGTGTGTGCACGCGCAAGCTTGTGGGCAATATGTTCTTCCTTCCCTCAAGTCCCTCACTCGCACACACAGTTCTTCCTTCCCTCAAGTCCCTCACTCGCACACACAAACGCCCACCTGAACGCGTGCAACTTCGTGTTGCTTCACAGACACGCCGACATGCGCCCAGCAGGATACATGTGAGGGCTGCTTCTCCCAGGAGGGCTGCGTGTGGTGCAGTGACGGTACGGTTGATGGTGTGGCCGCGTGCTTGAACACCAACGGCGCAGGCGCGCTGTGCTTCGAGGAAGGCGGTATGCTGGCTGCAAACGCCAGCCAGTGCTCCCAAACCTGCCCAGGGACATGCCCGACGCCGATCTGCGAGCCCGGATATGAGCTGGTTGAAACGCCCCAGCCTGGCCAGTGCTGCCCAGATGTCGAGTGCCGTCCCACAAGTGCGTGAGCATTGTATGTGTCTGTGTGTCTGTGTGTCTGTGTGTCTGTGTGTGTGTGTGCGTGTCTGTGTCTGTGTCTGAGTCTGTGCGTGTGTCTGTGTGTCTGTGTGTCTGTGTGTGTCTGTGTGTCTGTGTGTCAGAGACAGACAGAGACAGAGACACAGACACAGACACAGACACAGACACAGAGAGAAAGAAACAGGGCACATGCGTTTGTAAATTGTGTGCCGTGTCCAAAGTGTAACTACATATTGCAGTCTCCTCACTGATGCATTGTCACTTCCTTTCCTCCTCCTCTCCCCTGCCCCCAATTCACTAGGCGCCACGTGTCAGACCAAGGCATCATGTGGTGACTGCCTCGGCACGAGCGGGTGCAGCTGGTGCGCGCTGTCCGACATTGGCTTCTGCTTCGTGACGTCAGACCTGGAGGCCGCTGCTCTCGACTGTCAGGAGCAGGGTGGCGAATTCTTCGATCCACAGGCAACGTGCCCCGCAGCCTCAACAACAACAACAACAACAACAACAACAACAACAACAACAACAACAACAACAACAACAACAACAACAACAACAACAACCGGATGTGACAATGTTGAATGCTCTGTGCCGCAGTGCAACGCAGACGAATTGCCTGTTCAAACGGACTTTGACGGTTGCTGTGCTGTCTACTCATGCGAACCCGTCGGTACGCGTCATGCACCCACAGTGTCATCCACCAAATCAGTCTGTGGTTTGCTTGCCTGCATGCAGTTTGCTTTCCCAACGCAGCAGCACGCTTGCTGCTCTTCACCACCCGTGTCTTGCTTGATATCATGGCCGACCTTGGTGCTCGTGCTTTGTCTTTGGTTTTGGTTCGTTTTGCATTTCAACACCTCACCTCTGACCGCCACCATCACCTTCCTCCCCCGTTGAACCCCCCCCCCCTCTCTCTCTCTCTCTCCCAACTGTTACAAACGCGCCCGTTGACAGTGGAGTGCCGGCGAGGTGAGACGCCAACTGGCACATCGTGCACCTGCACGCGCGATACAACCAACTGCCTCGCATGCGCCGTGTCCACGGTCACGGGCGAGGATGTGGGCTGCCTCCGCTGTCGCAATGCGCTCTACTTGCACGAGGCCCAGTGCGTGGAGCAGTGCCCATCAGAGCTCACGAGCTACGGTCTCGGCAACTTTGGACGTATGTACACACGGGAAACGCGCGCGCGCGCGCGCGCGCGCGTGTGTGTGTGTGTGTGTGTGTGTGTGTGTGTGTGTGTGTGTGTGTGTGTGTGTGTGTGTGTGTGTGTGTGTGTGATTCGTTTGCTTCAATCAACTTAGTTTCGTCGACCTCGCTTCCTTGATCGTGATTGAGGAGTGTCTTTCTGTGTCATGACTCCCGATTCCTTTGACAACCGCACACGCCCCTCTCCCCTTCTCTCTGCACTTGCTGCAAGCACACATGCGAGCTTTGTGCATGATCCCAAAGCCATCCATCCACTCACCAGCCTGTCCAATTTGCCCGCTCTGCAGGCGAGTGTACAAACCCGTTCACATGCCGCGGCTCCACCGTCGAGTCTGATCCGTCTCGCGAGTGCGTATGCACAGATATTGCCAACTGCTTCCAGTGCGATTGGGAGGCCGGCAATGCGCCTGGGCAGTCGACATGCACGCGCTGCAGGAATGGCCTTTACCTGAGCGCGGACACCTTCACATGCATCTCTGCAGAGGTTCGTGTCGATGGTGACACGGCTGTATTGTGTCTGTCTGTCTCTGTGTGTGTGTGTGTGTGTATGTCTGTCTGTGTGTATGTCTGTCTGTGTGTGTGTGTCTGTGTGTGTGTCTGTGTGTGTGTGTGTGTGCGCGCGACTGAAGGCGGATCCCTTGTTGTTGGATGGCACTGGCCAATGTGAATCCCCATACCCCACACTACCACGCTTTTTGGTTTTGTTACATTGCTCGCTCACACGCATTCTTCCCCGCTACACCAACACAACTCCCCCCCCCCCCGGGTCCACCATCACCGGTATCAGGAGTGTCCGAGCGGGTATGCGCTGACAGGGAGCGGCGACTATGGCCGACGGTGTACGCCGCCCGCCACGTGCACAGATGGCGTCGACGGCAACGTCAGTCATCAGCGGTGCTCGTGCACTGGCGACACCGACCACACCGAGATGTCATGTGGTGCCACGCAACAATTGTAGATTGCAACACGCTCACTTACACCCTCAATGTTCACTCACGCTCACTTGTGTTCACAATCACTCACGACGCTGTCGCCAACAGGGCCTGCCGTGTGACTGCCCGAGCGGCTGCAGCACGTGCACATACGGTGTTGGTGTCAACAACGTTGTGTGCACGGCGTGCTCAGCCGACTTCTACCTCGTGGGTGTTGAATGCCGTGAGCGGGCAGAGTGTCTTCGGGACACGATTGTGGGCTCCCCCACGGGCGAAGGGTGTGACTGCGGGATTGAGGGGTGCCACCGCTGCCGCATCACCAAGAGCACGGGAGAGGTTGAGTGCACCTCGTGTCGTGATAACAGAGTAAGTCTATCACAACATGCGCGCTCTGAATGCTTGCCTGCGGCTGCCTGTGCTATGAAGAAACACACACACACACACTCACTCACTCACTCACACATCCTGTTGCGTTCACGTGTGCTCAAACCCTTGCCTTATTCTGTCGGTGTCTGGGGCCAGTACCTCTCTGAGAATCAATGCGTTACGGAGTGTGGAGAAGGCACGGTTCCCGTCGGCACGGGCTTCTCCTCCTTTGGCCGTTACTGCCACCCAGGGGTACGTTGCTCACTCGGGCGTTTGTTGTTGTTGTTGTTGTTGTTGTTGTTGTTGTTGTTGTTGTTGTTGTTGTTGTTGTTGTTGTTGTTGTTGTTGTTGTTGTTGTTGTTGTTGTTGTTGTTGTTGTTGTTGTTGTTGTTGTTGTTGTTGTCGCTGTTGTGTATTGTGGCGAACGTGGCTGTGTGGGACATTTCTTGGTTGCCTGCAAGCACGAACATTTGCATGTGAGCCCCACGCCCCGAGGCACTTCCAAACAGATGAATACTCAAACAATCCTCACACAACCCTGACCCTTTAATTTGTGCGTTCTATCAACCGCAGCCTGTCGTGTGCCGTTCCCTGCGCGTGCAAGACAACACCTCTCCATTCCACGGCGCCAAGTGCCCCTGCGAACCGGACTGCTTCCTGTGCCAATGGACAGAGCAAGGCAACATCTGCCTGCGCTGCCGCAACGGCCTGTATCTCCACAATGGCCAGTGTGTGCAGCAGTGCCCCTCCGGCTTTACGAACTACGGCCTCGGCGACTACGGACGTATGTGCTCAAGTGATTGTGGTTCCCGGGAAGGGGGACGGGGGCTCTTGAGAGCTGAGGGTGGTAGTGAGAGCGACGTATGAGCTTGCCTGCGTGATTTCAAGCCCATTCTTTCATCTACTCTGCAGCATGGTGGCTGTGTTTGTTGGCCGCCTTTTCACTTTCCCTCGTTCACACACACACACACACACACACACACACACACACACACACACACACACACACACATGTCTACACACATATACCCTCATACACACACACACCGCAATGCTGCAGGCGAGTGCCTGGAACCGTTTTCGTGCCGTTCAAACCGTTTCCTGACGGACCGCACACGACCGTGCAAGTGCACTGACAACACCAACTGCTTCCAGTGCGACTGGGAGGCTGACAACACGCCCAGACAGGCCACATGCACACGCTGCAGGAACGCCATGTACTTGGCTGATGGGGAGTGTGTTGAGTCGTGCCCTGAAGGCACCACCCCATCTGGCAGCGGCAACTATGGTCGCGAGTGTGTTTAGTCGACGCTTGTAGTTGTGTTCATGTGTGTGTGTGTGTGAGTGTGTATGAGTGTGCATGTGTGTATATGTATGTGTTCAGTTCGTTTCATGTGCATGTGTGTGTGTGTGTCGGCTATCGCTGATAATCATCGCAATTCCCAACCCCGTCTCTGTCTCTCCACCGCAACGCCCACCTGGTGTCTGCTGCGTTTTCTTCTGTTCTCAATCCAACACAACGCACTTTGGTCGTCTTCAATTACACAGCAGCAAAGCCATACACCATTGCAAATGCAACATGCTTGGTATTCACAAACAAACACACGCCCATCCGTGCTCATCCCATCAACAGCGCGTATCTGAGGGCACCTAGTCATCTGCGGCACCGTCTGCCTTCCCTGCATGGTCACTGGCATCATTCGCATCACCGCTGCCATGAACAGCAGCATCCGCACCATCAGCACTATCATCATCGTCGCCGTCGCCAGCCTGTTGTTGCCGTTGTTTCACAAAGGTTCCCTGCACGAACACGCGTGCCAAGTCTACGCCCTCTTTCTTGTTGATGGTTCGGCGGCTCACGTACGCAAGGTCGTCAGCCTGGCCAGGCCGTGGTGGTGATGATAGTTCGATGGTGACAGAGGTGGCAATGCGGAGAGATGAGATTCGACATCATGCACGAACACACAGTGTGCGCGTGCAGGCATTCATGTGTGTATGTGCACACACAGACGCACAAACCTCGGTTCTCACCTGAACTCATCATACACAGACGCACCCACACACAACACTTGAGCTCACATACATGCACAACACTTGAGCACACACACACACACATACACACACACATACATGCACACGTACACGAATGTGCAAAGCGTGCTCACCTCCAGCCCAAATTCCTTGAAGAGTGCCCGCGTTTGCTCTGAAGACAAGCAAACACACCAAACACACACATCGCGAGGGTGAATGGCTGTGCGTACCAACCAAATAGTGTGAAGACGGCGACATGGCAGGGTCGCATCGACCCTACGCAGCATGAGACACAAAGAGAGAGAGAGAGAGAGTGTGTGTGTGTGTGTGTGTGTGTGTGTGTGTGCGTGCGTCGAGATAGGACCGACCGAGCTCAAAGTAGAATGCGCGCGTGCCGTCCTGCCTGTAATACAGCTGCGGTGCGAGCTTGTGTCCCTTCTGTTGCCGTTGGTGTTTTTGGAGCAGAGAGGTGTACTTGATGAGCAGGAATGAAACATTAACAGCAATCATGACACCAACAGCATCAATATGGATGCATACGACGCTCGAAAGAAGAAGGAAGGGAAAAGAGCGTTTGCTTTTGCTTGTGCGGTGTTAAAAGCAGTGGCGCAGGCGCAATGGAAGTAAACGCTTGGCACGGCACAGTGAACCGTTGTGTACAAAAGACGCCATGTCGCACATGCTAATAGGTATGCGATTGTGCGGCCATGGTTCATCACCTTAAAGCGCAGCATGGCGTGGTCATATATGCCGTAGTCACGAAAGCACACGGCCCCGCCAGCCTTCAACACCTGCGCGCACCATGCCAAGATAGAGCGTTGAAAGACGAGGGGAGCATGTGTGAGCAAGCAGGGATGGGTGAGGATGATTAAGGCGCGTGTGTATGATAAAGGGGTTGAGGATGTGCAAGAAGAAGAGCGCGGGTGAAATGAAGGGTGTGAGTCCATCCTCAACACAGCAGACTCATGTCTGCTCAGAAGAGGACACGATGCAGACAAAGCACAATGCAGGTGCCGTCGAAGAAAAGACCAACATCATCAACAACAGCTGCAGCTGCAGCAAGAGCAGCAGCACGTGTTGGTGTCGCCACTACCTTGACGACGTTTGCCAGGAGCAGGCGCATCTCGTCGATGGACATGGCAGAGAGGACAAACAGCGCCGTGATTGTGTCGCAGCTCTCTGGTTCCATGTGCTCCAAGACGTCATCGCGGGTGAGATCGCATTGAAACGCGTGGCAGTCCTCCTCAGTGAACTCCTCATGGCCCTACACCACAGAGGACAACATCAGGCATGCGCCAATTTGAAAAACGGCAGTGATGGTGTTGGGGAAAAGGAGCTCAAGTGTTGTGTGGTTCGTGGTGCGGGCCAAATGATGAATAGGCTGAAGACGTGCTTGCATGTGCGCACGAAGATCTACATATCCGCGCACACACACATGCACACGCTTGTACATACACACTTGCACACACACACACACAAGCACACGCATACACACGCATGCACACACACACCCACTTGCGCACATAGGCACATACAAGCGCACCTTGACAAAGTTAACGGCCCGTGGGGAGAGGTCGCAGGCGTGGACAAACAAGCGGGGGTTCTCCTTGCGCAGAGGGAACACGGTATTGCCGACCCCGCAGCCAATCTCCAGGTGCACGGGACGCTCACCTTGTGGGTTGGTTTCCTGCATCAAGACGGGGAATTCCCGCGTCAGCCAGTGCCTGTCCTTGAAGAAGTTGACTGTGTTTCGCTTGTAGAACAGATCCCAGTGCCGCTTTGCCTCCTTGGCAAACTTTACAGACAGATATGGCCTGAATGTGCATGCACGTGAGTGTAAGTGTGTGTGTGTGTGTGTGTGTGCATGAGAGCGTGCGGGTGTTGTGTAAACCAGGTGTTGAGGGTGTGTCTTGTGAATGAACACGCGTTCTGAAGAAGGCGTTACGCGCACAGTGTTCCTGCTCGAAACACCCACTCCGTTGTCTCCTCTCACACACACACGCATACACACACACATACACACGCACACTCTCTCTGTGTTTTCACTGTGGCTCACCGTGCGCATGGTTCTGTTTCGACGCGCTGCTTCACCTCCTGGTTCAAGTCCACAATCTCCGTGGACCGCACAATCAGCTCTCCACCAGCACCCTCTGCTGTGGTTGTGCTGTCGTCGCTCATCATCGTGTGTCAGTCCGCCCGCGGTGATTCGTCGCTCTCGACAGCATGAAATGTAGCGATGCGTCATCAAGCAAGATGGTGGGGCATACACACAAACAAAAGGCAAAAAGGAAGCGAAGCAGCTCCAAGCAAGCAACAAGCAAGACATTCTCAACATCGACGACACACCACCACCACCACTTGTTTGTCTGTCTCTCAAAAGGACACACGTACACACGCACAACCATGGAGGCTGTTGCGCCCAAGCCCAGCAAGCAACAGAAGGACAAGAGGAAAAAGAAGAAGCAGCAACACAAGAAGCAACGCCAGCCTGAGGTTCGTCGGGCTGTGGAAACAGAAAGAGCGAAGCGTGTGTTGATCGCTGGTTGCTTGTCTTGTTGACCGCTCGTGTTGATTGCTGTTGTTGTGAGCGCGTGCTGATTGATCCTTGGTCGTCGCGTGCGTTGACGCTGGTTGACGCTGACATTGACGTTGTCGTGATCCCTCCCTCGCTTGCAGGTGGAAGGGCCCATTCCCACGCCAATCGATGTGGAGAAGCTGCCAAAGTACAAAGAACGTGATGATGACCAAGAGGAGGCAGCAACGGTGGAAGACGGAGGTGACGACACACAGCATGACGCATCGTCACACGCCGCCAAGGACACACCCGCTGGCGACGGTGTGGGCGGCGAAACACCTGCTGCAAAAGAGGTTGGCACCGAACCTTCCGCACAGCAGGACCAGCTGCATGACGAAGAAGAAGCAGAGCAGGGGGAGGCGGAGGGAGAGGAGGAGGGAGAGGAGGATCAGGTGCCGGATGAGGTAGTGGGAGCAAGCCACGATGCTGCCGACACGGACACGGAGCCAGCTGCAACTCACAAAGCTGAAGACAGCACGCAGCAACCAGAGACAGCACAGCAGGAGCCATCAAAGCTCGCAGCACACGTGAAGCCAGCACATCCCCCGGGCTCGCTTGCCACACGTCCCGTGCAACACCAACAACAACAACAACAACAACAACAACAACAACAACAACAACAACAACAACAACAGATGCAACAACAACAACAGATGCAACAACAACAACAACAGCAACAACAACAACAACAACAACAACAACAACAACAACAACAGATGCAACACGAGGCTGCCGCAGAAGCTGCGCCTGCCATCATCACAGCGGCGTCCCAAGTACAGATGCCGGCACCGATGGCAGAGCTTGACCTGCCACCGATCGTGCAAGACACCTTTCCGCAGCCATCAGTGCACGCCTCTGCGGGCTTTGTTGACACGCCAGCCGTGCCCGCACAGGCCCTCGACCACTTTACCGGCAACATGTACCTGATGCAGAACGAAGAGTTTCTGCAGAACTTCGTCACATATGGGGGCAGCCACCGCGACCACCCGCTGCACACGCTGCTGCAACGCTACGCCATGGCCAGGCAGGCTGTGCGCGGCGCCCTGCAGATGAGTGAGGATGCCCTTGCACACATTGAGCGCGCGTCCACCAGCGTGTGGGATGTGGACACGGTGGAGCGAACGGAGTACGGGCGGTGCGGCGATAACCGAAGCGTGGCGGCACGTGAGCGCTTCCAGGTTGCCGTGTTTCAGAGCGAGTACGTGCAGGACTTGAAAGAAAGCCTGGAGCGACTGCGTAAGATTGCGTTTGAAAACGTTGTTGAAAGTCAGTTCTCCGCACACATGTCGCGCTCCAAAGTGGACGACTACATCGAAAACGTAAGCCCTGGCACTCGCCTGCACACCATTTTTCTTTGTCTTTGTCTTTGTGTGTGCACTGTTTGTCTGTGTGTGTGTGTATTTATGTTTGTGCAATTTCCGCTTCACGCGCTGTCTTTTTAGTTCTTGAGACAGATCTTCTGCTCATTTCCACGTCCGCCTCTGCCTCACACACACACACACACACACACACACACACACACACACACACACACACACACACACACACACACACACACACCTCTGCGTGCAGACGCTGTTGTTGGTTCAGGACGCGAATGGGATTGGTGCAATGGACAGGCCTGCGTTCCTGACATCGTGGACCTCCGAGACCCATCGCAAAAACACCATCACCATTCAGAAGGTGCCACCATTCCCCCCTCCCCTCCCAACCTCCAACTTTATGTCAGCACTGTGACATCACATCTTCATGTCGTTAAGTCGATCATCACATGTGATACTTTCAGTGGCCAGCCACGCTCACGCTGTTCTTCACACCACACACACACACACCCTTGCCATTGTACGCGCACGTGTGACTGTATGCCAGTGTCTGGACGTGCTGTTTTCGTTTCTGCGGCGGTGCGTGGACAGCGACAATGTGTTTACGCAAGACGTGAAATCATGGACACGACGCATGGTGTCAGCACTCGTTTTGTACGGCACACTGCACGACCACCGATATGTTCTCAACCACATTGCACGGTGCGTACTGTGCGCAACCTTATTTTGTGTGTGTGTGTGTGTGTGTGTGTGTGTGTGTGGCTGTATCCATGTGGGTGTGTGGGTGTGTGTGGGTGTGGGTGTGTGTGGCTGTATCCATGTGTGTGGGTGTGTGTGTGTGTGTGGCTGTATCCATGTATCCATGTGCGTGTGTGTCTCTCACTGACTTTGCCTGCGTGCATCGCCACCTCTGTGCGCCTCTTGAAACCAAACTCCCTCATATTTCCTGCTCCCTCACTTTCCTCTGACTCACCATCCACATTCACATCCTTCCCCTCCCCCTCTCCCCCGGGCGTGCTCCTCGCCACCAGGGTGCCTGGCGACCTGGCACGAGGCCTTGCTGAGCTGGTGATGTTTCCGCCCCGCTCCATGTGGACAGAGGACACCGTCAACCACATCCTCGCCATGCTGGACAACTTCCTTCGCGATCCAGAGCCGTTTGTGGACGATGACGTGGCGGTTCAGCTGTGAGTGAACCATGCGCATTGACTTGCTTGCTTGCAAGCACGCTCATTGTTGCTGCTTTGTGTCTGCGTGGTTGCATGCGTATCGCCATCACACGCGTTTCCGTACACCACGAACGCATCCACTTACAAACAACACGTTTGCGTGTGTGTGTGTGTGTGTGTGTGTGTGTGTGTGTGTGTGTGTATGTGTGTGTGTGTGTGCCTGCATGTGTGTATGTGCCAACAGTTCATCGCCGACTGCAGAGGGCGAGGAGTCTCTCTCGGACTGGCTGTGGGTTGGCGGTGAGTTTCTCCTGCGGTGCACGTGGTGAACCCTTGCATCGCTCATAACCATTGGGCAGTTCCATGTCAACTGTGCAGCTGACTCTTGTCGTGTGTATTGCGTGTGTGTATTGTGTGTGTGTGTGTGTCTGTGCGTGTGTGTGTGTGTGTGTGTCTGTGCGTGTGTGTGTATTGTGTGCGTCTGTGTGCGTCTGTGTGCTGTGCATTGTAGACGGTGGCGGCGGGACGATGACAACCCACGAGCGCTCGCACGTTCTGTCTGAGGACGCGTGCCTTGCAATCCTGGAACAGTTCCCCCTCGCCACCATCCTCGCATTCACCCTCGGCTTTGACGGCGACGAGTCGAGAGGTGTGTGGAGGGGGGGATATGTACGCGTGTGTGTGTGGGTGGGTGCTCGAGTATTTTCATGCACCAGCTATGTTGGTTCTGCTTTCGATTCCCCTTGCTTGTAGTTGCTGACACAGTACCTCATGCACCCCACTCTCCATCTGCACATTCAACACTGGCCAGGCGGACACGATGAGGCCGCGGTTGTGCGGGTGTTTGCGTTTTGTCGCGTGTACATCCGCAGTCTCGGTCGATTGTACTCGGATCGCCTGCGCAGTCAGCACAAGTCGTTCTCAAAGCTCATTGGCCACAACATTCTCGCGGTGAGCCACCACCCCATTTGAACGACGCCTACCTGTGTGCATATAGAGACGTGTGTGTGTGTGTGAGTGTGTGTGTGTGTGTGTGTGTGTGTGTGTGTGTGTGTGTGTGTGTGTGTGTGTGTGTGTGTGAGTGTGTGTGTGTGTGTGTGTGTTCGTGCTTGAAATCGTTGCCCCTCACGCTGATGTGGGTGTTCTTGCTTCCATGTGTGCGCATTCGTGCGCGAATACATCCTTCCTCACTTTTCGCTCTCATGTCTGTGTGTGTGTGTGTGTGCGTGTGCAGTGCACGCGGCTGTGCACGGAATACCTCAACGAACTCAAAGCGCAAGTTGGCCAGGCCGCCGTCGACCCAGCCGTCATGCAGGACATCCAGGTGTGGTGTGGTGTGCTGTGTTGTGCTGTGGTGTGCTGTGGTGTGTTGCGGCTCAAAAATGCGCTAAGTGTTCACTTTTCCACTTCCTTTCGTGTCTGTAGCTCATTCGTCATCGTGTCCATATTCATGATGCAATTACAGGCCAATTATGACCAAATCCTGTGCGAAACCTTCACTGTGTTTGAAAAGGGTATGTTGCCTCCGCTGCCCTGCGTGCACATCTCTCTGTTGGTACCATTGAATCGCCCAATTTCCCCTTTGCACTGCAACGCTCACACCAAACACACACACACGCACGCACGCACGCACGCACGCACGCACGCACGCACGCACATGCGCTGACACGGTGACTTCCAACAGCATCGACGCACAACGAGTGGTCCTTCTGGCCCAACATTGACTTTGCGTCGCTGAGTCTGCTCAGTCTGTGGCGAATCCTTGGCCATCTCCTCACGGTGCGCCCAACCGTCTTGCATGCGCTTTGAGTGTGTGTGTGTGTGTGTGTGTCTGTCTGTCTGTCTATCTGTCTGTCTGTCTGTCTGTCTGTCTGTCTGAATGCCGCATGCATGTGCTTGCTTGCGTCAGTTTGTACGTGTGCACATCCGCTTGTACATATCCCTGCATGTGATGTAAGGCAGACCCAGGTCTGTGTTTGTTGACGTCGCTCACCTTCCTCCATTCCCACCACCAGGGCGGGAAGCTCATGTTCTCAAACGTGCCCGAACGTGATTTCCTGCTGAACCGCGTCGAGGAACGAGAAGAGTGCGTCTTGTTACTGCTGCTGCCATATTCTGCCGTTCAGCACCACCATTGCAATCAACACCTCCATATCGGTTGACCTCCGCGTCTGCAGCACATTTCCCGCCACCATGTGCTGGCCAAACGCTCACCCCTACGCTCGCACACACGCGCGCGCTCCCTCTCACGTGTCGCGCAACCCTTACTCACACATGCTCTCACACATATGCGCATCGCTTTCACAGCTTTGGTCGCCGCCTCCAGGACAACCCGGCCAGCGGGCAGTTCCTCTTCAGCTTGCTCGCGTCCATGGCGGCATCACGGAAGGCACGAACACTTATACACAGCACAATGGCATAAACCTGTTTCACATGCACACGCACACATGTACACACCCACACATACACATATACGCGCGCACGCGAGCACGTGCGCTCTCCTCACTCCATGCACACTCCTTTGCTCCTCCACCACCACCACCACCACCTCCTCCTCCTCCTCCTCCTCCTCCTTGCCTTCTGTTTAGCTCCACGGGGATGATGCAGATGCGGAGTTGAAGTTCGTCTGCGCCGTCGCCGAAGAAATCTTCTACTTCTCCTTTGTCTGGTGCGCTGCCTATCACATGTATGCTTGCATGCGCACGTGCATGCGTATTGCATGCACCCTCGCACACGCACACCCACTGCATGCAAGCTCACACCCGTGCACCCAGGTTTCACAGCACTGCTCGTTTGTGTTCATGGCGATGGCCCTTCGCCTTGCCCTCTGCTGTGTTGCATACGTTCACTTCCGTTCACACGCATCTCCCTGTCTCCGTCTGATGCATATTTTTTTCAGCCACACGAGTCGACACGCGTGTGTTCGTCACGGCTGTGATGCTCTGGAAACCATTTCCGCCGCCCACCCAACCACCGTCTCTGTCATTCTCAACGCCACAAACTCGTTTGCTGATTCCATCGGCAAGGTAACCCTTTCAAAGGCAAACACACACACACACACACACACACATGCACTCACGTGCCCGTGTTTTGTCCACCGCCAACTCATCCCTCCATTTATTCATCCAACCTCCGTATCTGCGCTCACACGCACACTCACACTCACTCACACTGTGCTACTGTTGTGGTGCTCGCGGCGTGTAGGCGTGCATCAAGGCGGTGACGTCGCTTCGGTACGACGGGTGGGTGCCGACGCGAAACGACCTGGCCATTCTCAAGTCGTGGACAACCATGGAGCCGGGTACGCTGCAGGCTGATCTTGCAGAGCGGCTGCTTACCCACATGCAGTTCAACACAACGGCAGCAGACATCTCCTCCAGGTGTGACAGCGTAATCTTGAGGAAGGTGGAGTGAAGGGAGAAGAGGTCATTGTGTGTGTGTGTGTGTTTGTACCTCTGTGGTCTTGGTGTTTCATGTCAGCGTGTGTGTTTTGTGTGTGTGTATATTTTGTGTGTTGTGTGCGAATGATTTCTTTACAGCGAGTGAACGATGCCTTGACAGCTCTGCTTGTTGTTGCGCTGTGTCCCGTCCACATTGCTGCTTCTCACGCCGCTGCACGTATCGCGCCACCAGGAACGGGGACGATCTTCTCATTCCCGTTGAGGTTCAGCGTGAGATTGCTCTCATCCTCGCCTCCGCCATCGCACAGCACAAGGCCGTCGCACGCCAGCGTATGAGCACAGAGGCCGAGAGAGAGGGAGGCAGAGAGAGACAGGGAGACAGAGACAGAGAGAGAGAGAGAGACAGACAGAGAGGAAGAGAGAGCAATATCACTCCGATCACACAGACAGCATATCACACACACGTACATCACATCATACACCGCAGTGCAGACACGCAACACACGCCACAATACCGTACAGGCCACAGCACAAACACACAAAACAACACAAAACACACAAACCTTTTTACTCACTGCCCCGCTACTGTTTCACAACCAACACCAGACCCCGGTGGTCAGGCGCACTCGCCCCACCGTGCATTGGCGGACATGTACTGGGATGTTGTGCTGCGTCTCCACTTGCGCAGCAGCGTCGTGTATCCGCTTGCATCGCACCCGCGCCTCTCCATTCTTCGCGACCAGCAGGCCGACTTCCCCGTGTGCTCGTACCTCCGCCTGTTCATGACGGAGGCAAGCAAGAGCTTCGACGCGTTTGCTGCGATGGGCATCAACGATCTTCGCTTCCTGCTCGAGCGACACAAACCAGAGGCTGCCGTCAATGCCATCATGCAGATTGCCATGCCGCTGCTCGCCTTCAACCCCTCTGTCGTCACCGCACGCCGGGCAGAGGTGAATGACGTTGTCGTGCGCGCCGTGACGGAGCTTGGCGACGCCGCGCTGCCGCTGCTGCAGCACAGCGTGTGGCATGCGCAGAAGAGCTTCATCCACTGGCTGGACACGTCCTCGTACAGGGCAACAGCAGAGGCCCAGCACACGAGCCCAGGCATCGCCATCGCAAGTGAGTGTCTTGTGCCGTGTGTTTGTGTGTGTGTGTGTTGTTGTTGTTGTTGTTGTTGTTGTTGTTGTTGTTGTTGTTGTTGTTGTTGTTGTTGTTGTTGTTGTTGTTGTTGTTGTTGTTGTTGTTGTTGTTGTTGTTCTGATGATTATGTTTCGCCTTCTTGCTCGTTCGTCTGCTGCGCTGTTGCTCATTTACACACACGCACGCACGCACACGCACACACGCACGCACGCACACGCACACACGCACGCACGCACACGCATGCACACGCACACACGCACACACGCACAACCTCCCCCCACCGCGCCATCCATCAGAGTACTGGCTGCGGTGCCTGACGTCTGACTGCATGTGGCCAACCAACATGGCCATGCGAAAAGCCGTGGACGCTGTGCTCGAAGCCGTGTGCACCATTCCCCACTCCCTCCCAATGATCCATGTGAGCTCCATCCAACCTCTGTGCCTTGGGTCTGGCCTCTCGTGTGTCAACATGCCTTCTGATGCAGCTGCGAAGCATCTGTCTCTCTTGCGTGGAACTGAAGCTTGCATTCGTTCAGCCGCTGTTTGTGCGAACACATACTCACCTCTGCGCACGTCTGCACGACCGAATCCCCGCCCCTCCCATTGACATCAACAACGACGCTGCTTGTGCTGGCTTTCAGGTTCTGCTGCACGAACGACTGCAGGCGTACGCACATGCGGTGCAACGCCAACCAAAGTCCATCTTCAGCACAGTCAAGACGTTTCTCCTCGGTCAAGGCATCACCTCTCTCGCCTCCGTTGCAGAGGAAAACTTGGGCGGTGCGTAAACAACTCTGTGTGTGTGTGTGCGTGTGTGAGTGAGTGAGTGTGTGTGTGTGTGTGTTAAATGCTACTGCCGCACTCAGTGTTTGCCTTCCTTTCGGGTTGTACTCGTTCTCACACAACTCCCCCTCTTCCAACTTCGTTTTTGTTGTATTGACGGTGCTTGTCAGGTGCGGCAGATGTGCAGACGCCGTTCCTGACGTTTTTTGCGCTGTACATCGACATGAAGGAGCAGCACAGCGCGTGGATGGCGTTTGGGCGCAGACTACAGGCAACACGCAAGCGACCAGCTACCGTGCTGAAGGAAACCAAGATGCAGTTTGACCACCTGTGCATTGTTCGCTTTCTTCACTACGCCTGCCATCTCCCGCCGACGCATCCGCTCAACATTGTCTACATGCAGATGTTCTTCGCCCTCTACTTCAGCCACGCTTATGTGAGGCACCGTTTGCTTCCGCTGCTTTGCGACAGTCCTGCGTTGTCTTTTGTGTCCTGCAGAGGATGGACAGGCGGTTGTTGTTTAAGTTGTAGTAGTTGTTGTTGTTTAAGTTGTAGTTGTTGTTGTTGTTTAAGTTGTAGTTGAAGTTGTTTAAGTTGTTGTTGTTTAAGTTGTTGCGCCAACTGTTTTACCGCAACACTCGCGCGTGCTCACGGTTTGACACCAACACACACACACACACACACACACACACACACACACACACACACACACACACACACACACACACACACTGATGTACACTTGCATGTGCGCTGTCTGGCTCAGGACAACAACGGGTCGCTTGTGTTTGGGGGCGCGTTGCTGGAGGGCGAGCACCACATTTGGACGCGGCGAGCGCTTGAGCACCTCGAGCGCCTGCAGCGGTACCACGACCACGCCATGTCCACACACGCATCGGCGTCATCGCTTACATCATCATCGTCAACAACGCAGCACCAGCACCAGCACCAGCAGCAGCAGACAGGGCAGCAGCACCAGCAGTCGCACGATCAGCAGGAGTCGTCGTGTGTGGACGTGCATCGACAGCTGCATGCATTGTACGCCGCCTGTCGCCACTGGCTGACCAACGACGCACTGAGGCGCCAAACGCTGCGCGTGCAGGAAGTGCCGCCAAATTATGCGCCGGAGCGGCTTGATCACGTGTTCCGCATCGATTTCACCGACCTCAACCAGGCCCAGGCGCACATGTGGCTGGACCTTGTGGACCCGCTGCTTCGCGAGCGGCGAGCTCGCGTTGAGACAACACTTCTCAAGAGCGGTCGCCTTGGTCTCGTGTCGCAATACGCAGACTCACGACGACGCCGGCCCGTCCGACACAACACGCAGCTCAGCCGCTTCTCAGACGACTTCAAGACGGAGTGCGATAAGCTGGGCAAGGAACGTCTGCACATGGAGCCGCCATCCAACCCACAACTGTTCACAACAGACTCGCTCCACCCACAGCGCTTTATGGAGGCGATCAAGACGGACTTTGCTGCCGTTTCTGCCGCAGCGACCACCCACCACCAGCAGCTGAGCCGTCTCACCGAGCTTGATGAGCAGTTTGTGGACCAGGTGAAACTACTGTATGTCAACGTCGATTCCGTGCTTGAGCGACGCGTTCCTTGCAACCGAAGGGAGGGCTGTGTTCGCCCGGCTGTCATTGTTATTCGTCAGCGCCGCGCACAGCAGGTGCCGGAGGTCCTGCACCTCATTGAAGCGACGCGCAACGAGCAAGCCCAGATCCTCAACAGTACGTTGTGTGTGTGTGTGTGCATGCGCGCGTGCGCATGAGCATGTGTGTGTGTGGCGACATTTGCGTGCGTATGCAATACGGTGTTTGCGAGCATCATAAGTGCACACACACACACATACTATCCTCCCCTCCCCCCCCCCCCGCCGCACACAAACTCACACGACTGCACACACACACACACACACACACACACACACACAGGCCCGCGCGTGCCAGAGAGCATCTGCACGGCTGCGATGAGAATACGACAGGCTGTGCTGGATTTGCGCCGCTTACAGGACGCAGAGCACGCAGACGTGTGGGATTGCGCTTCCGAATTCTTCGTTGCGCTCATTCGCACGCTGGACGACTACGAGATGATGAACGCCAACTATTACCCCGCGTACAACATCCTCAACGAGTGCTTTGATGCCCTCGGCAACGGCATTGTGCAGCACGACCAACGCAGTGTGCTGCTGCTGGCTGACCTGCTGTTCCAGTTCCCTGCACAGGCCAGCCGCCTCCTGCCCATCTTCTGCCCCAACACCGCACGCCACCTCTTTGTCAGCGCGTACGAGAACATCAGCCGGAACCTGACGCCGGACAACGGCGAGTTTGTGGCGCAGCTGCTGGGCCGGTTTGACGTCGACCGCTACCTCTCCGCAGAGGAGGCGATGCTTGAGGACGGCCGCCAGTTTGTCACTGCGCTCGCGCACGTGTTCAAGGAAACGTGGTCGCGTGCCAGCACGTCCTCTTCGTCCGGGCACCGCGCCAGCCCGGCGGATGAGGCGGAGCAAGGCAGCAGGAGAACGCTCACGACGGGTGGCAAGAGCGCATATGCGGCGCACGAAAGCAACTTGCTGGTGTGCCTGCGCCACAAGTTCCCACGCCTGTACAACGACGTGTTTGACGCCATGATCACGCTATCGTCCGAGCAGTGCATGGAGGCATCCACGTGGACTGCCGTTGCCGGCATTGTGGCCGCCATCAACGCGACGGGCCGCGCCCTCAACGTGTTTCAGTGCCGCGAAACGCTGCATTACTTTGCCAGCCGCTGCCTTGAGCTCCGTCGCTCCTCGGGCCCGCTGCTGGCCAAGTGGGCGCCATACGCCGACCCGCTCTGCGCATTTCTCCAACACATGTGGGATCGCCTTGCGCGCGACCCGCAAACAGATGTGGAGGAGAACCACCAGCTGCTGCTGTCGCTGGTGGCGCCGTGGTTGTCCTCGCGTATCGGTGCGCGGGGTGCCCGGGATCCCCAGAGCGCGCCCTTCCAGCCGTTCAGCATGCAGGAGACGGCGGCCGGCGTGGTGGTCCAGTTTGCCGTTGGCGCCTTCATGCACGAGGGGCTCAGCCGCGGGGGCGCTGACCATCGGTTGGAGAAGCTGTGGTCGTGGTACATGCGCGAGTTTGCGCAGCAGGCGTGTCCACACGTGCTTCGTCCCGTGCACACGGAACTGTTGCGCATTGACTGGGCAATGCTTTCCATGCCTGCTTCCCGCTTGGACGAGCTGCTGTCACTCGTCAGAGGCGCTCCCGAGGAATGCGCCATCTTCCTTGCGCACCTCAGCACCAAGCTGTCGTGGGCGCAGTGCCTGGTGTCGCTGCAGCAGCTTGCTGGCCGTGACCTCGCCTCTGCGCAGGAGCAAGGGCGCCGCGTGCTGGACATTTTCTGCGGCGTCATCAACGCACCGTCCATTGCTGTGGACCACCGTGACACTGTCGAGCACATCTTATCGCTGCCGTTTGACCCGGCCCTCGTCTCTGACGACGCGTTTCAAGAGCTCGTGCAGCAGGTCGACGAGCGCTGCGCTCCCGAGGGCGTCTTCAACTTTGCTTCCGCGGTGAGGCTCCTGTTGGGCGAGTTGTGGTGTTGTTGGATGAGACGTGGTGTTGTGATTGGTGATCAGCTCACGCCCCTTGCTTTTTTCTATGTTCTATTCCTTGCCCACACACACACACACACACACACACGTACACACACACACGTACACACACACACACACACGTACACGCACACACACTTAATCACACACCGAAACTCACTGACACCAATGATATTTACTCACTCACACACACACACACACATGTTCTCGCCGATGTACCCTGACCCCATTGCCACTCGCGCCAGACGACGTCGAGCCTGAAGCTGTTGCGCCGCGCCGCTGGCATGGACTCGCCAACACCCTCGCGACTGCCCACGCACTTTACGTTCCAGCAGCGAGTGAACCGCACTATCCTGGTGATTGCTGCGCGCACCAACTTTGGCATCCGCAGCATCTCCACGGCGCGCCCCGACGACCTGCAGACGCTGGTGGTTGCGCTGCTTGACGACTGCATCGGCTTCCCCGGCGAACGCGTCTCCCTCGTGCGCATCATCGACACGGCGCTTCGCAAGGCACTGGCCATCTGGAACCACCTATCCCCCGAGCAGCAGCCGCTCATGGACGAGGCCGTGCGCGCCTTTCTGCAGGCCAACCCGAGCATGTGCTTGTCCCTGCTGTCTGCGGCTGTGGCGACGCTTGCGGACTACGGCACGGCATGCGAGGTGATGGAGGCGGCCATCAGTGCGTTTCTCTCCTGCGATGCGTTTGCACAGAACGGGCAGCTGTACTGGGCGACGGTGCTTGAGCACTTCCAAGTGCCGTCGCTGGTGGAGGCGGAGTTTGTCAAGGCGGCGTGCACGCGCCGCTGCGTGTATGTCCTGTACGTCTATCTTCTCCGCTGCATCTCGGGCCTGACGTCTGTGGACCAGGAGGAGCAGCTGCTGACCGCGCTCTTGTCATGGATCACACAGCTTGACCCCACCACGTTTGCCTCGCCGCAGAAGGCCGTGCTGCTGTGGTGCCGCGCCCTCAGCCTGTGTGCGCACCTTGTGCAGTGTGGTGGGAACACGAGTGTTGTGCAGGCGGCTCTGAGCACAGTGCTTGGCATGCTGCAGCAGGCTGCTACAGACAGGGACTTCCACTGGATGAAGTTGCTTGTGCAGGAGACGCAGCTGCCCTACGACGTGCGCATTGGCGCACGGTACTTGGCTGCGTTTGCCTCGTGCCTGCTGACGCAAAAGGAGCAGCTTCGCTTTGACGACGGCACACGCGGCACGCCCAAGCCATCCAAGGTGTCCAAGGAGCTGATCAAGTCGCTGGAGGACAGCAAGAAGCTCAAGAACTACATGGTGTATGCGCACTCGACTGACATTGTGCTTGAGTTTTGCCGCTCGCCAAACCACGTGTCGCGCATGGACGAGTTTGTTGCTTTTGTCCTCGGTGCCGTCTTTCCTTTCCTCTCCCGTGTCCAATAGGCCATGCACACGTGCGTTTGTGTGTGTGTGTGTGTGTGTGTGTGTGTGTGTGTGTGTGTGCCTGTGTGTTTGTATGTGTGTTTGTATGTGTGTGTATGTGTGTGTGTGTGTGTCGAAAACGAGCGATGTCGCAACTGTGTGCGAGAATGTGTTATTGTGGTTGTGCTGCACTGTGTGTAAGCTCGCTTGCTTGCTTTCATTTCCCTCTTTGATTGATTTGGTTCGCGCGTGTGTTTTGACCTGTACATAAGAGCTTTGAACGTCGTCCGTTTCTCCAACTATAAAAGGCACGGTTAACTCCTCCTCCCCCTCCTTCCTTCCTTTTGCGTATCACGTCTCAAGCAGCGTCGCGCAGTCTCCTGTTTGCATGTGTGTGTGTGTGTGAAAGCGAGCGTGAGTGTGTGTGTGAGTGCATGGTCTGACAAACAAAGGAGACAACGCACGCACACGCACACGCACACGCACACGCACACGCACACGCACACGCACACGCACACGCACACGCACACACACACACACATTGGAGCGCTCATGTTCCTCAAGTATCAAAACCAAGCGCTTGCCGCCGTCACACACCTGTCTGGCCTGAGGTTTTGCTGCACGACAACGCGCGGCTCCAAGCAATACACGTTGTAGTTGGCCAGGAACAGCGGGCTGGAGAACGAATCGCTGATGCGGGCGCTGACGGGAATGAGATCTTGGATCATTTCCATGGCCGTCTTCCTCTTCACCGCATACCCAACAGAGCCAACCTCGCACTGCATGTGTGTGCATGTGTGTGTGTGTGTATGTGCATGTGTGTGTGCATCAATGTGAGCATGGACTCTGCACAGGATCATGGCAAAGGAAAAACACGCGTTCATGCATCATTTGTATCACATCCATGTCGCACCTCTCAAAAACACACGCACATAAAGACACACGCACCTCTGGCGTTGGCCTGAAGAACCAGTCAGACACCTTCTCCCCATGTGCACATGTGTCTGGATCGCACGCCAGGGAGATGAGGTCCCAGTCCTCCGGCGCCATCGCCAGCAGCTGCGACAGCGCGAGCGGCAAGTTGCCGTTGAAGCTTGCGTCGTCCTCGAAGATAATGCCGGCCTCAAACGTCGTCTTGACAAGTTTCTCCATGAGCAGCAAGTGCGACAGCGCCTGCGCAACCGTGCCCAACCGCTCCCGTGGAACCACGTCTGCCAACGTGCGCATGTTGCGTGTGTGTGTGTGTGTGTGTATGTGTATGTATGTATGTGTGTGTGTATGTGTGTGTGTGATATGAACATAAATTTCACGCAAGGAAAATGCCGTGTGCATCGCATGTCACGGTGTGCTCGAAACAGGGCAGCGTGCAACTGCACCTGAGATGAGGCTGCGGTCGAGCAGGCGATCGTACGACAGGTCGCGTCCATCTGTCGCCTCATACACGAAGAATGGCAGGCCAGCCTAAGAACACAGTGCACCAAGATGTGTGAGTTGGAACTGCATAAGGAGGAGATACAGTGTCACCAGCAGCAGCTAATACACACAGCAGCCACACCCTGCACCTGCAATGCCAACCTCTCAACAAGCGCACACATTCACACAATCACACAATCACACATTCACACATTCACACACCGCGCTGGCGACTGCAGCAAAGCGAGCGAGCCTGTCGTGGCTGGAGGGGAGGTTGATCACAGCCACGGGCATGGTGAGAGCACCAAATGCATATGCAGATTCCTCGAGTGTTGCATTGCCAAGACGACGACCACCACCACCGGCATTGTATTGGGGCGTCTCATGCTCCATCGCTGGCTCATCGCGTGGTGCGCTTGCGTGGTGCGGGTGTGCGTGCACAGGCTGTGCTGGCAGTGGCGACGGCTCTGGTGACGCAGCAACAGAGGAAGAAGCACCGGCCCACCGACTGCTGCTGCTTTCCACTGCTGTCGCTGTCGCTGTTGCTGTCGTGGGCATGCTGGCTGCTGGTGTGTGGAAGCGGGAGAATGACGCGGGAATAGGACTGCTAGCAGCAGTGCTGTGCACCATGTGCGATGAAGACGCCGCGCTGCTGCTGCTGCTGCTGTGTCTGCTGCTGTGTGGCAGAGAATGGGAAAATGTAGGTGGTGGTGACTGCACCGCAGACTGGTGCGAAGTGGTGCTCGTAGCGGATGGAGATGGCAAAGGAGAATGTGATGAGCCAGTGTTGTACTGCTGCTGTTGTTGCTGCTGCTGTTGTTGCTGTTGCTGCTGTTGCTGCTGTTGCTGCTGTTGCTGCTGAGGGTGGGACACATTGGAGATTGGGTGGAGGTCAAACTGTATATCCGAGTCGACGCCGCCGACAAAGGCGGGATTGGCGTTGTCCTCGGCAGCGATGAGGGGGAACGTGGCATACACGTGCTCCCACTGGCGCATCAGCTTCATCAGCATCACTCCAACAGGCTGTGCACATACAAATGTACGCAGGAGGGAAAAGGGGATGGGTGGGAGATTGAGTGGTGAGGATCATGCGTTGCATTTGCCAGGCGTAGAAGTGCAGCATGACATGATGCAACACAACAGAAGAGACCACAACACAGCGCAAAACAACACTACACGACACAACACAACACAACACAGCACAACACAGCATGACACAGCACAGGCAAGGAGTCTCACTTGAACAAAGCCGTGTTGCTTGACAAAGGCAACGAGGTCCCTTGCGCCCTTGCTGGAGAGGATGTAGGCGACTGGCTTGTAATGGAATGCCTTTGTGGGCTCGTCCTTCTTGCCTGGCTCGATGCTCGGGTCAAAGTCGTGTGTAAAGTAGGTGTTGGGGAGGTGTTCACAGAAGTATGGCGAGACGCGCTTCACCACGTCGCCGGAGAGATACGCGTCCCTGTTGCTCTCCAGCAGGCCGCCAAGGAAGATGACCTGGGCGTCGAGCGGGAATGCGTGGTGCATCTTGCTGTTCCATCGCTCAACCATGCCGGGCGTGAACACAACGTCATCCTCGAGAATGAGGTGGAACTCATCCCTGGACTCTGCAATGTGTCGCCAGATGAGATAGTGGCTCAAGGCCTGCCCAACAAGGCCACGCCGCCACTTGAACTTGTTGTTGGCAAACAGCCGCTGCAGGTGGCTGTCCCACGTGAGCTCGCGCCCGTCAAAGGCCGTGACGAGGTGGTAGTCGCCAGTCTCAAACGGAGATGCGTTGAGGAAGCGAGCGAGCCGGTCACGGCGCCGCGGAAGGTTGATCACATAGATACCATCAATACCTTCCAAGGCCATGCGCTCCCCAGTGTACTCCAGATACTTTGAGCTACCTACAAACGTGTGTGTGTGCATGTGTGTTGTGTGTATGTGCATGTGTGTTGTGTGTATGTGCATGTGTGTGTGTGCATGTGTGTGTGTGTGCATGTGTGTTGTGTGTGTGTGTGTGTGTGCATGTGTGTGGCCGTGCGAATGAGTGTTGTGTTTCGTGAGCGATGAACGGACAAGAAGAATGTGACCGCCAGCTGTGACTGCTGCAGAGGGCGGTGTGGAATACACGGTTATGCGCGTGCCGTGCTACTCACGAGGATGCCAGCTGCGTTGACAGAGGAGGTTCAGGACAGTGTCCCAGCATTCGCCCAGGCACTCGTGCATTTCCTCGTGCTGCTGCAAGCAAGCGCATTGCTGCAAGGACCCTTGGTTCCCTCGTGTCACGCATTTCAAGAAGCCTTCGTTCCGCGTCGCGCACTGCGACACGAGGTTGATCAGGTCCTTTCGCACACACGGGCTCTGGCTCAACGCCTGCGGCAAGCAAGCAGTACATCAAGCAGTGCATCAAGCAGTACATCAAGCAGTGCATCAAGCAGTGCATCAAGCAGTGCGGCAAGCAGTGCACGGTGCAGTGACAAGTTTGGTTTGAAGGAAGGGAGAGACAGAGACGTCCATGCGGAAGACATGACGTCAGTGCATAGAAAAGAGAAACGATGGTCGCTCGAGCTGTATCTCTGCGCATGCACGCAAGCGTGTACGCACCCACTCATTCACACTTACCCCATGTCGTTCCACGTCGCTGTCCAGTGTCACTGCTGCCGCCACTGAACCACAACCAATCACAACAACCACAACAACACACAACACAACAACACACACCGCTGCCGTCATCGCCGTTGTCCTGAGCAAGCCGTTTGCGACACCACAAAAATCACAGAGCACCCCCAGATCCACACAACAGCGTCAACATGGATAAGGGCGTTGAGGAGCCGCTGGACTTGATCCGGCTGTCACTGGATGAGCGCGTGACAGTGAAGATGAGGGGCAACCGCGTACTCTCGGGACAGCTGCATGTACGTGTAGTGCATGTGTGTGTGTTCGTGTGTGCCTGTGTGTGTTTGCGTGTCTGCGTGTGTCTGCGCGTGCGTGCGTGTGTGTGTGTGTGTGTGTGTGTGTGTGTGTGTGTGTTGTTTTGTGTTTTTGTGTGTGTGTGTTCGTGACTGTCTTGTGTGTGTGTTTGTGTGTGTGTGTTCGTGACTGTCTTGTGTGCGTGTGCGTGCGTGTCTTGTGTCTTGTGTGTGTGTGTGTGTTTGTGTGTGTGTGTGTCTTGTGTCTTGTGGCTTGTGGCTTGTGTGTGTGTGTGTGTGTGTGCATCTCTCTAACTCTAAACTCACACTATCTCTAGCATTTATAACTCTCGCAAATAGATATGTCATCGCAACACGAAACAATTTTTTCTTTTTTTTTTTAATTTT